GATTCTCTTAGTTCTTTGATCAGGACTTACAAGATGAATAAGAGAATCAATAAACCAATAATTTATGAGAGTTTGGTAGCTTTATAATTGTTACACTTATAGTTTGTCTAGAAGACAATGAAATAAGAAATCCACTTCATTTAAGGTGGACTTTCCTTTGCTTGGGGGCACTTATGTCACATCTATAGGGAGCTTGATTGCTCATACTCATTATTGAGTTAGGACTATATTTTACCTTGTAGCACTTTGGTTACACCTATGAGGAGTTATCACTTAAACACTTAAGTTAACACACTCAGCTCATCACCAGTGGGCTTTGACTTACTTATAGGGCCATTCGTTCGAGTTTATTGATTTCACTTATTGAGACCCCTTTGTCATATATACTTGAATTGTGAAAGACTATTTACTTTGAGTTTTTGAGCTATTTTACAATGAGGGTATGATTAGGTTTGAGTCAAATGATGGACTAGGAAAAACATAATTGAACGTTCCTATCCTCGTGGAATTGAGTTGCACTTTTGATTTTCTTTTACTAAAGAATAAGTGTCACGACACATGAAACTAAGCCCACGTTTGTATATTGGATGTATATTGAAATGTTGTTATGCTATCAGAAGAAATAAGATGATCCATTGTTGTAGATATATATATATATAAGAACGATAGAAACAACAAAAATAAGAATTCTTTAACCCGCTAAGTAGGGTCGGCTACATGAATCCTTTTTAACTATTATATCCTATTAAGTGTCATCTTTTCGTTTAATTATAATAAATTAAGATCATTTTTGTATGCAATCTATCTAAATCTTTCAGGTCTACCTCTACCTTACTTAACATAAGAAAAATCTAAAACATCTATTTTCCTAATAGAATCATCAGATGGTTGACATTAAATGTGACCAAACCATCTAAGATGACTATTTTTAATCATAAAATTCATTGGAGCTACACAAAGCATTTCACGAATATATTTGTTTCACATTTTATCTCTAAATGTAATTCCACTCATCTACCGGAGCATTCTCATCTCAGCAATTCTTAATGTAATTTTATGCTTCTCTTTGTCAAGACAACATTCTGCGCTATAAAGCATAACATGTCTCACCACCATCTTATAATTTTTTTTTTCATGTTTAAGCAGTAATTTTTAGTTACACAATAGGCCCAATGCATTCCTTCGCTTCAACCATCCAACATGAATTCTACTAATAACATCCTCATCTATATCGCCATCAATATGAACAATAAACTTGAGATATATAAGACTTTCACTCATTTTAATGACCTTACCACTAGATCTACTACTATTAAAACTACATTCAATGTATTTAATTTTAGATCTACTTAAAGGAAGCTTTAATATTCTAAAGTTGGCCTTCATAAATTATGTTTATCTTGAACTCTCTCGGGTCCTATCCATAAGATGGATATCAAAATAAATCCTTTTATAAATGTCAAGTAAGAATACCCATAACTAAAGCAAAAGATAAGGGTTAAAGGAAATCCTTGATGTAATCCAACTAAGATATAAAAATATTTGGAGAAACCTTCTCATTTTCTAACACAAATAATTACTCTAACATATACATATTTTTTAATGACTTGAATAAAAGTAATATCAACACATTTTATTATAGAACTCTCTAAAGTACTGCTTTAGAAAGATTATTATACATTTTTTTTAAAATGTACAAGAATCATATGTAGATTCTCCTTACTCTCTTCGTGCTTTTTCATCAAACCTCTCATTAAATGTATAACTTCTATAGTAGACTTGCCCGGCATAAAACCAAATTTTACTTTAATGAATTCTATTAGTAGACTTTACTTTAATGAATTCTATCTGATTTTGATAAATTTTTGTTACACATCATAACTTATGTTCAATTATTCTCTTTTATAACTTTAATGTATGACACATGCTTCTATAATTTGAATTCTTTTGTATCCCCTTTAATCTTAAATATATGGAACAATAGAATCTTTCTAGACTCATCTAATAACTTTTTAGTTCTTAAAATAATATTAAAAAGCTTAATAAGTCATGAAATTCATTGATCTTTTAAATATTTTTACACTTACATTGGAATATAATCAGATCCTACTACTTTTTTATACTTAATTTTCCTTAAGTCTCCTTAACTTCTATTTTACTAATGCAAATTATACTCCTATAATGATGAAAAAAAACTTTTATTATTATTTATTCTATTAAGAATACTGAATTCAATCGTATTTTTACAATCTTTATTAAGAATTTATGAAAATATCTCTCCTACCTATATTGAATATCCTCATCTAAGAAAAGTTCATTTTCATTTAATATATGTTACTTGAACTAAATCCTTATTTTTTATTCTCTTTGCTTGGAATATTTATACATATATCTTTCACCCACTTTAATATATAATCTATTATAAATAAAATTAAAAGTCAAATTGTTAGCATCACAAATTATTGTTAGAGACTCTACGATCAACCTTATATTTTTTTTCAAATTATCCAGACTCTTACATCTAAATAATATTTATAATAAAACTTCTTAATTTCATATCTTTTACCATACATTATTGTTCAACCATAAATTTCTCACACGTAAGAGCTTTTTCTTTTGATCCTTTAAGCACATCTTTTGGAACATGGTCAATCTTACTTGTTACTTTATCCCATATAATATCTGCTTTTTAATGAACATCCAAAAACTTGAGTTCTTGAAGTTTACTTATAAAAAAGATTTTATTATATAATTTAAAAGCCTCAACTAAATACAATGATAACATTTATTATATTTTTCACTTTCCAACCCTTCATCTTAAAAGCCAAAATTAATGATCCATATTGGGTACTTAAGTTCTTACTTGGAATAAAGTTACTATATTTACAACGTTGAAGCTCTATTTTTTCTCAAGAAAATTTATGTTTATTAGATATATTTTTATAAGTGATAACCTATTCAATTTTTTAAATTAAGTATTAGCAAAAATAAATTCATAAGCTAAAATGAAATTCAATATGAAATTACCTTTTTCATTAGACATTCTAAAACCATAGCCATCATGAAATTTTTTTAAATATTCTACCACTCTACTAATAATTTATTTAAATCTTGTCCAATAAAAATTCTCTTTTCTAGAGGTATGATTTGTATTAATTTGTTAGATCATAACCAAAATTTTCTTTTAAATATATATCCAAACCTACTTGGGGAGTATAAGCACTTATAACATTAATAATCTTAGTATCAATAACAATCTTTATAGTAATAATATTATCTTTAATTATATTAAATTTTACTATATTGTATTTTAAACTCTTATCTATAATTACACATACACCATTTATGGTATGACTACTACTTTTTTTCTAATATCTAAAATCTAAAATATCAATCTCCTTAAGATTTTCCTAATTTATTTAGTTTTTTGAATGCTTAGGATATTTATCTTTCTATGAGCCATTAAGTTTATAATTATTTTAGTTTTCCTGTGTGTATACATATATGCAAAGTCTTTATCCTAATGACTTAGTTTTTAATGACTAACTTATTTGCCCTTATTCATCCATAATATAGAAACTTTTGCTTATTTAATACTAGACTCGGATGCCCATGCATCATCTCTTACACACTTATCACTATATTAAGACAATACAATGTGTCATATCTAAAGGATGCCTTAATATTGACACAATGATTTGAAAGGATTCATACCATATTTTTTTGATAAAATTTTTATACTGATTGTTGACTACCTAGTGAAAACCTTTTATATATATATATATATATATAAAAGGCCCGTACACAATATTATAACAAAAGTAAACCGTGTACAAAGGAATGTTGAAATCCATTATACGAATGGTGCCTCCATCCGATATACAACACACACGAAAGCCTCCAAAAAGCAGTTACATGTATACCCAAAAACTCGAATAACACCGAAAATGCTGCTTAGTAACACCAGTAGACAAAATGTTGAGGATTTGTCGAATACCATGAACGATAACAGCAAAGGAACAATCAAAATGTCAAGGAACCACAGAATAACATCAAGGGAATGCAGAATGCAGCCCAAGATAACACCATCAATGCATAAAGCTAATAGCAGGAGAGAATAACACCATAAAACTCGGGAAAACAACCATCAATAGCACGAGAAATCGCAGAGTTACAAAGCACTGGATACCAACATGAATAATAACATAGTACAACCCATGATAACACCCGTAATAACACATCAAGAGTGCAAAGGAATACCCCTCAATAACACCAGTAAAAATGGAGGTACAATGCACGAGATACCACCATGAATAACTCCATAGTACAACCAATGATAACACCCGCTGTCGAAGGTCGCGAATAACACCAGGTAATGTGGGAAAATAACCTGTGTTAATACCATTAATAAAACCTTTCGAGTGGAGAGAGAAAACCTTCAATAGCACCACAAAATTGCGGGAAGGTCTCAGTAGATGGTAAGCGAAGAAAAACATCTGCGAGAAGGTCTCAGTAGATGGTAAGCGAAGAAAAACATCATCAAGGCACTAATTTCAACCACCAATAAAACCATCCAACCAAAGGCAAAGCGGTTCATCTTCCACCTTAGCAACATCTGATATGAGGTAAGCTCAGAGAATCCCCATGTATCAAAAGTTTAAACTCAGAGAATCTCCATCTATCAGAACTATCTAAACTAAGGCGCTCGGGACTGTCAGCAGCCACTCTTCTAGCCAGCCTCAGCTCACCCTCACCATCCTCCTCCTGTCGTGAGCTTACTCTACCTTGGCGGTGCAGTTTCTTGGTCTAAGAGCTCCCTGTCGTAGGTGTTATCTACCTCTATAACACAACTTTTTAGTCCGAGAGCCTCTTGCCACGAGCTTCCTCTACCTTCGGCGCAGCTACTTGGTTTGAGTGCCTTCTGCCGTGAGCTTCCTCATCGTTGACAACAGACACTAACAATACTGTAGTATGAAAGAGTAGTATGAATGAGTGTCCACCTTCTCTCCCTTTTCAAGGAGTTTCTTCCTGAATTTTGTTGGACTTCCACAATCTTCGTGGTGGTGAGATTCTCCTCCCATAAAGTTTCGTTTCTGGTTCAATATTCGGTCCAGTTTTTACAATCTTATTTAATCCTGTGACAAAAGCTACGTTTATTGCAAAGCTATAATCCATTATCACAAAACATCACCAATAATCCCTACAAGAACAATTTCCACCTTTAAGATGATGAAATCGACTAACATCTCTCACCACAATCTCCCTCTCCATAATCTTAGATATGAATTTAATGGCATTATGGCAATCAACGCACACACGCAAGTTCTTCATTATTCTGATTGGAGCTCCATGGGGCAAGCTAAGAAGGGCAAATGCAATAGCCAGCTTCTCACTGTGATGAGCCAAGCTGTATTCTTTCTCCTCATCTTCCATGTCATGAAGAACCATACTGGTATCTGGCACATAACCCTGTTCTCTCATTTTACCAATCAATTCTCTCAAGTACTCATCAATCTCATTTTGCCTGGGATGCAATCTCTCGCCAGTAGAGAACTGATGGATCTCACCTTTGAGCTCCATCCAGCTGACTCCAGGTTCCTTCCGCACCTTCCTCTCTTTCATGGAGCTCCTAACATCTGAAACATCATTCCATCTTGCAGCAGCAGCTCTGACATTTGAGATGAGAACATAAGAAGCTGAATCCTCAGGGTCCAGCCTCAAGACATGCTCAGCCACCCTCTCCATCATCACCGCATTCTTGTGAACTTTGCAGGCAGACAAAAGGGTCTTCCATATAACTCCATCTGCTTCCACATTCATGGATTTGATCAGTGCTTCAGCTTCATTTAGGTGCCCTGCCCGGCCTAGGAGATCCACAATGCAAGTGTAGTGCTTCAATGAAGGCAGCAGTCCATACTTCTTCTTCATCAGCTCCAAATACCATAATCCCTCGCCTTTCAATCCACTGTGACAGCAAGCATATAAAATACTCAGGAAGGTAACCTCACTTGGCTCGATTCCATTATTTATCATCTTCTCAAATAGCTCAATCGCCCTCCTCCCATGCCCATGAAATCCATAGGCTGCAATCACTGCACTCCACAAAACAAGATCAGATTCGTCTGATGAATCGTCAAACACATTGATGGAATCCTGTAAAGAACCGCATTTAGAGTACATGCTGACAAGTGAACTTGTAACTGGCACTGATGAATCAGCTCCAGTTATGATTGCTAGCGCATGGACTTGTTGCCCTTGGCCAAGAGCTGACAATTCAGAGCAAGAACTTATAACACTCACAAAAGTGACCTGATCGGGCGTAAAGCCTGAAGCCATCATCAAGCTGAAATGGCTGAGAGCACCCTCATAATCTCCATTCTGCACCCTCCCAGCGATGACTGTGTTGCAGGAAACGACATTAAGAACAGGCATTACATTCAATGCTCTCTCCCCTTCTTGGAGACGGCCGCATTTCATGTACATGTGAGCAAGAGAGCTCCCAACACAAATATCCGCTTCAAATCCAGATGGAATGAGGTAACCGTGAATCTGCTGGCCAAAGGTGAGATCTTTTAAACCAGCACAACACCGCAAAGCGCTGGCTAAACTGAACTCGTCGGGATGCAGGCCCAACCTCCTCATCTGAGACAAAAACTCTAAACCTTCTTCATCAAACCCGAAATGAGTATATCCGGTGACCATGGCATTCCAGGTGGCGACGTTCCGCTCGGGCATTTCGTCGAATAGCTTGCGGGCGGAGTTGAGATCCCCGCTTTGAACACAGCCGCCAATGAGAATGTTGTAGGACATGATGTTCTTACGAGGCATTCCGGCAAACAGCAAGGCGGCAGCCTGCGGGTTACCGAGTTTGGCGTACATGTGAAGGAGGTGATTGGCAGTGAAACGGTCGGCGGAGGCGCCGCAAGTGACAATGAAGCCGTGGAGCTGCCGGCCATGGGAGAGGGATTCATGTGAAGTGGAACAGGCTTTTAGGAGACAAGAAAAGAGATTTGGGTCAGCGAAGACCTCAGGAAGGAATCCGTGAAGGGCCTGTCGAAGGAATCCTCTGGAGCACAGATGGGTGAACTCTTCCTTGGATTTTGTGGGGGAGGAGGAGAAGAGCTTGGTGAGAAGGAGCTTGGCCATGTAAAAACTGCGGGCAAGGAAGCCATGGCATTAATTGGAGGACAGAGCTCGTGCAAACGTAGGGTGAATATGGCTAATAAGATGACCGATGCTGGACGGGAGAAAATCCATCGCTACAAAAACAAAAATTGAGGATAGGAAATGATTCAGCCTATGTTAAATTTGAGGTTAAAATATCACATAATGAATTTTGAAAATAATTGGTAAATATTTAAATAATATTATAATAGAAGTAAATTTTAGATAAAAATAAAAATATTTTTATGAAAAAAGAAAATAAATTATTATTTATAATAGAATATAGAATAGTGAAGGCTAAAGTGATGCAACTGTGAGAATGATGTGGAAGGGTTCTTGCGATTACGAAGTGATCACTGAAATTTATCTAGATTGTTTAATGGAGCAAATGAAGGTAAAATTTAAGAAGCGGGCTAGTTTTTATCGTTTGATTTCAATAAGTCCACGTGAAGATTTATCTCTTTAAATGAACAACTTCAAAAATCTTCAAACTCTAAACACAATGGATGTGTGCTAGAAAATTCACGGCAGTAGAGTATTAGATTATCGTCTTAGCGTTGCGCGAGGATTCAACATTCTAAACACAACTGATGTGTGTTAGAAAATTTACGGTAGTAGAGTATTAGATTATCGTCTTAGCGTTGCATGAGGATTCAACACACACTCAGATGAAAAATAATCAAGCTGTGATAACACCAGAAGTTTTACGTGGAAAACCCGTAAAGGGGAAAAACCACGGGGTATGGCCCAGTTGTAAAAATCCACTATAAGTTGATGATTACATATGTCTCTTGTCCCACAGGCGGGAAAGGGTTACTCGTTTTTTCAGGTACAAAGTCGAGACGTATAGTCAGCGGTGGTTGACGGAGGAAGAAGATCAACGACCGTAGTCGACGACAATCGATGACGGTCGGCAGTGGTCGACGGAGGTCAGTGGGGGGTGCTGACGACAGTCGATGACGGTCGGAGGTGGTCGGCGAGATAAACGACGATCAACGGTGGTCGGCGGTGGTTGACAGAGGTGGTTGTCGACGGTCAGTGGTGGTCGCCGGCGATCGACGATGGCCAGAGGATGATCTTGAACTTGAGCACATTTTCAAAGCCTCAAGTTCTCTCTTAAGCCTCCTCCTTTCATGTGAGGGGTGAGGCTCTATTTATAGTGTTTTGGGTGCAATTAATGCAAGAATATGAATCATTTTGATCGGACGGTCCTGAGAGCTTCCCTTGATCGGATGACGTTTGATGGACATTTGAGTGCCTTAACAATGTCGGAATTGAACAATCTTGGGCTCGTTGGATTCGTTTTGTCGAGATGCTCAATTCGACTATGAACTCGCTGAATTTGTCATTCGTTTGATCTTTCAAATATGTCCGTAAATATTCTAAGAATAATTTAATCACTTGATTTGAGCTTGATTTGACTCAGATTGGATTAACTTTTATATCATTAGGTTCGTCTCATCGAACCGATAAGTTTGACTATAAGTTTGCTGAAATCGGAGTTCTGGATGACTTTTTATCAAGATTTGAGTATCTCTTGCTCAAAATATTATCTTGAGATTTGTGTCGGATGACGAAAATTTGTTGGTGGTGTATCAGTTGCCCCCCTATTTTCAGGCTAGTCCAATGTCATCGTACGAAAATATCCAATTTTAGATTTTTTTTTTCAATTTATATATGTATGTATGTATGTATATATATATATATATATATATATATA